AAAGTTTATTTCACTTCGGAACATTCATTCACGGATTTGCGCTACTGTCTTCACACACAGACGAAACTTACTAGAAAAGTGTGAAGTGTGACATAATATACCTCTGTAAATAAATATAAATTCACGTCTCGCGCACTTTAATGCCCTTTGACTGTAACGTGTACATTCCCTTGGAACTGGAATCATGGCGGAATATCATGTGAAGTCCACTTCACAGGGCACTTACGGTCGAATAAGGCAACGCTTGAATGCTGCTGCCTGAACAAGTCCTTACTGAAGTGAAAATGTTGACTGGTGTCACTATCTCGCGAACGCGCCGGCGGATCTCCACCAAATTCGGGGGATCCCTTCAGCTTGAGGAGCCCTCTCGAACGCCACCCTCCGCGCGTCGGTAGTCCCCCGGGATCGCTTGATCGGTCGGCGCCGGACCGTGAATTTAACCACCTGTAACTCCCGAACCCCGGGGGCTATCGACGCGGGGGTGGTCTCATTCGAAGGCCTCTAGACGTACACTCGCGTTCGAGAGGGTTCCTCGAGCTGAAGGGATCCCCCGAATTTGGTGAGGATTCGCCGCGCCGTTATGGACATATGGCCGTTCAAAGTTTCAGTGGTTTTCCATAGACTTAAGCTTCAAAAGCGTTTCACCCAGGTCGCCAGTAGCAAACAATAGAGGACATTGTCTCTGCTGGACAAACTAAGTAATTACACCATTCAAAAGCATTAAATCTGCGTTATATGTTCTGTAAAAAAAAATTAATATCAGCGGCATATTCGCCGATACCGATATATCGGCAACAGGCTCATATCGACCGATAATATCGACAAAACGATATATCGGTCGGGCTCTAATGACAATGCATACAAACATGAGCCTCATTCTCTACAAATACACTTAATTTATTTATGCGCATGAACAAATCTATTTACCCAAGTCACTGAATGATCTTTATGGACATAAATGCAAATTACTGAATTTGGACTAAAAGAAAAGACATGATCTTTTCTGAGAATTTCTTGTCACAGTGCTTTGGTCCAGAGTCTGCTACTATCACTGATTTAAACTTAAGTAGCAAAAATAGAGCATGCCTTTATTCTTTTATGTAAAATGTATATTATATTTAACATGATTTTTACTGTTCTTAAGCATTTAAAATACACTTGGCTACAATGGTTGTTCGGTTGAAATTATTATTCCTCATATTCCTCTTATATGTTTTGGACTACTGTACAATATGCTACACAAATAATATTCTCTCACCTTCACATCTGCTCTGGTCTTGTCTGTGACCTCCATGATGAACTCACAGCGTTTGCCGTTCGGCTGGCTCACCAGGTGGTTCAGTATATACAGGTCTACCGTTGCACCCAGGTTATCGATGTTGGAGACAAAAATGTACTCCTTCCCTTCAGCGATGAGCTGCTCCAACAGACCGGAGTTATAAAAGCTGGCGTAAATGTCACCATGACCAGGAGGATACCACACATCTGCATTCTCTCCTGTCATAGCCATGTCCTTAGCGACTGGCAACAATGACTCCTTATTTATCCGTGGATACCTGGAAAATTCAGAGGAGAGAAAGTCTTCAGCAAATGAAATTAAATATAAATATTAGATGATAAAGTAAAATGAAGTAGTAAATAAATGTAAAATGAAAACTCAGAATATAAAAATCAAAGCTAATTGAAGTTAATAATAAATACAAGAGTAGCATATAAATAATACTAAAATAACAATAGTCTGTCAAATAAAAAATTATCACTATCATATTGGCCAAAGTCTTGTTTCAGCTGCATTCCTAAAAATCAGAATGATCAGAAAAAAAGCTAAAATGGATAGATAAAATGGATGCAAACAAAAGCCCCGTTTCCACCGCAGGAACTTTCCCCAGGAACTAGGGACTTTGGGCCAGTACTCGGTGGGTGCTTCTCAAACGGAAGGCTGCATATCTCGGCTGCCACGTCATCAAATGTCGCTGAAGGCCATTTCAATCAGAAGGATCCTTGGAAGGCAGCCTTCGTTTCGCGTAGTTCATTCAGCTGAATTTGAAGGATGCATGGGATGTATCTGCGACTTTCAATCACCCACAATCCTTTGTACCCATTCCATTTCATGAAAATAAACTGACGAAAAACGATTCAGTACTGAGCTTATCTGAATTTATTATGAAATGCAAGACAAAAATAATGTTCTCGGACATGAAAGGATAGATGTTATCTTTTGTTTTGGTGTAAATTATTTACTAAACGCTCAACTTCCAATAATGTAAGCCACGGGGAAACTAGACGACTGTGATTCATTGTATAGCATTAATAGAAAGCAAATTAATATAAAGATTTGTAATACAAAGTATTTTTCGAAAACTACGTTTTATTAGTGTTTTTGTGCCGTGACGGTGAGGAACATATGTGAAGTAGCCACGCGCACTTACTAGACTGTCTCATTCTAGCGTTTAATGCCGAGGAGGACTCTAGCCTACAAGACTCTGAAAGACTGAACTAGGAAGGACGCAGCCTCGGTAGGATGCAGACTTCCGTTTGAGAAGCACCCGGTGTGTTTCCGCCGCAGGAACCAGGATCTAAATAAAGTTCCGAGTAAAAATTTGCCCCTCAGAATGTCCCTGCTCGCGAGGTAGTACTTTTTCAAAGGTCTGGAACTTTCGGGGGCAGGACTTGGGCGCTGAACATGCTGATTGGTTGAGTTCACGCAGCATTGTATTTTAACCACCATATATTCGCATAATTTTCAAAATATTACTGTTATTGTGTCATGAGATGTAGTTTTAAAAGTATTTCAGGAGAGAATGTAGTTGTTTAAAATTCAAATCTGCGGTATATTTATAAAGACAGATTTCGGAGACATGAGCTCCACGCACGATCAGTGGGCGCTCAGTGCTCATGTATCCCGGCGAGAGCAGCCTCAACTCGGCTAGTCCTTCTGACATTTGCCACTGGCTCCGATGTCTCTGTAGTGGTTAAACATAAGATATAATTCATTTTGGGTAAATCTAACAGGTAATCTTTGGTCTTTATTCTATTAATCTATTAATATGTTAAATTGAAAATGAAAAGGCAATACTGTTTGATATAATATTTTGTTTCATTGTAATGTATGTTCCCTGAACTACATTTCTGCGGCTATTAATATGTTTAAATAAAAGCGAAAAGAGGCAGTGGTGTTTGATATCATATTTCGTCTTATTGTAAATACAGTGAGGAAAATTGCAGTAGCCAAGGCGAGCTGACTGACGTTATCAAGTACACTGCTGTTTGCAGAATTACTGGACACACTCCCGAGTCGAACTCGCGAAGTCCGAACTACCGAGGATGCAAGTCCGAAATTTGGAGAAGGGTATAACTGCAGCCTGGAGATCTCCAAATGGGGGAGGGAACTCCAAAACGGGGTGGGAGCTCCAAAATAGGGCGTGGCTTCCTCCCATTGACAGACAGGCACATGACACGCATGCGCAATTGTTTCTCCCAATCCAGTTCAGTTGAAACTCCGCCCCACAGCTGATTCTAAAGATTTTATTGGTTGTGTCAATCACAGTTGATTTCCTACACTATGCTACAATAAATGCTAACAACCCCTAAGCCTACCCCACACCTGACCCTAACCTTAGCCAGTGAAATTGTCTGCACGGCGGGATTGGCGCTGAATAGCGTGGTAAACAAAGTTCAGGAGATAAGCAGTTAATAAGATTATGCGATATGAGATCGCCGAGCCAGGCCCCCAACTGGACCTCACCCCCGTTGGCTAAAACAAAGCGATAGAGTGAATTAAGTTTATTAGAGAGTTTATTAAGCAGAGGTTCAAACTCTGGTCCGAACAACACTGGCCACGAGCTTTGGGCTCTGCTCTCAAGGAAAATATTTATTTATATAGCATATTTTATTTTAGATCAATTAGAAACAATGTTTAATTTATAAAGTTTTATTTTGAAATGTAAGTCAATAACAATTGGCCGGAGCCAGAGCCAATGGTGAAAGTCTTTGCGCGAGGAGACCCCGCCCCATTTTGGAGGTTCTGCCCACTTTTGGAGTTCACGCCCCATTTTGGAGATCTCCGGTGTGCAGTTATATCTACTTGGAAATTTGCGTACTTGGTATTGAGAAACGCGCGCAGACCTACCTCACCAGACTATATGCCTAATCTTCTCGGTACTTTAGACCGCGATGGAAACGCAGACAGGTTTGGGGGAAAAAGTTCAGAAGACAAGTTGTTCCAGGTAATTACGGTGGAAAAGCGGCTAAACACAAAGTGTCGTAAAGTGTTTCCTCTTTACAGAAAGAAAAAAACATTTCAAGCTTTGTTTATATGGGCATGAAAAATACACTGCGTATGCAAATGTGCTTTCAGAGAGGCTCTAAAATCTTCTCTCGCTCTTGCATTTCAAGCTTATTCAGGTCAAATGAAGCCAGGGAAAACATCTGACATTCTATGTAGTATTCATCCTCCTCCTCGTCCTTTCATTACATAGTCTCTTGCACAAGCTTCAGCTTTAACCGGGACTAAATGTGCTGTCTTTTAGCGCTGTATTCGGTGTAACCATATCCCACGAGCGTCTGTTGTTAGCTTGGAGATAAATTTCTGCTCTGACAAGTCCATAAAATATTAACATATCCCCATTATCGCTTAGAATCCTCATCAATCTTTAACTTGTTTTTTAAACAAGCTTTTTAAGTGTTTGCAGGCTAAGGGTCACATTATGAAGGTGAAGAAATCCAATTTATTTTCATCCTGCACTGTCTGTGCCAAAACGCTGAATTACAATCTCTTTGTTTAGATGTATGTGTCATCAACTGAGTGATCTATTATACTCAAATTACATAAATGTTACATTATTCCTATGTATATATCTGTGGTTTGTGTGTTTATTTAACTATACTCAGAATACTTACATTGAGAAGTCAGATAAATCTTTAAAAAACTGGAATAAATAATGAACTATAAATTGCATATCTAATTTATTTTAAAAATGCATGATTTTAGTTTAGGCTTATTAATTATAACTAGCTTAATTTGAAAACAAATGTAAGTCTATTTCATGTCAGGTAAATGCGTGTATGAATGTGTGGGTTAATACCTGCTCTGGTTGAACGTGTGTATCTTGACTCTGTGGTGAGTGTATTTTTGTAGGATCTTCTTAGTGTCTTCATCCGTATTGAAAGAGTTCATGAGCACCAGTGGAACATCAGCATTATATGTTTTATTCAAGTGCTACAAAGACCAAAGAGACAAATTACTTACTAAAAACATTATCAAACAAGTTAACTCATGTTTTATCTATTAAAGGGGTCATATGATGCGATTTCAAGTTTTCCTTTCTCTTCGGAGTGTTACAAGCTGATTGTGCATAGACAAGATCCCTGAAGTTGCAAAGACGTTTTTTGAACATTAAAGCATGTCAACATATTCTGTTACACCAAATACACAAAATAATGATCTTTAGAAAAGCATCATATGACCCCTTTAACATTCTAAACAAGTTAACAATGCCCACAATGTTTCTCATTAATACTGATACTTTGGCAGGTTTATTACATTCTGCAGCACATTCCATTTAATCTGGGAGAATGAACTCTTGATAATCCTAAATAACAAAATTTATTGTTTAGACAACGCTGTAAACGTGAGATCTTTAACACAAGAGCCAAGCTGATAAAACATGGTCTCCAGTGGATATAGACACCTCTCCTATCTAATCTCTGCAGTTACTCTGGTGTGATGAACATGGTCAATAATTAATCAGAACATAATTATTAGGTGAATTGGCAAGGTGTCAACAGTACTGCAGTAAGTGAAGTACACTTAAAGTAAAAAAAATGGTGTGTAATTTTGGATCAAAGTTTAACACCAGTGGATCAAACACACTGGTCACCAGTTTCTGCAGTAATTCTTTGATCAGTAATTTCCAAACTAATGCAAATTTTGTTTTTTTAGTCATACTGAGGTACAAAAAACTTCTGTAATTGAAGAATTACCCATAAATAAATTTAATTTCCCTGTGTTAATGGTTAATGATACTTTAACTACAAAGTTCTTACAAAAATGATTAAAATGAGTATGCATCATCCTCTTTCAGAAACTGCTGGATGACACATTTTAGGTCAGTTTCTTTTAATGAATGTTTGCCATAAATCTCAACCTAAAGAGAAGCCAAATGGTATAAGCTGGCCTAAGGGCTTGCTAAAGGCCTGCCAACTATAGAAACGACAGCCTGTATTTCTGAGAGAGAAGGACAGATTACCCATTTACATGTACTAATGGACCTTATTCAGTGAGTGGGATATCTGATGACATGAGGCAGGTAAACGGTCTGTCGAAGAGACACTGAGCTGAGTGTTCTTCAGTGAAGGCATCCCACAGGGCTCAGTATTTGGCTCCTATATTTTTTTCCATCTTGCCCAGAACACAGCCCTCTCTGTTTCAGTTTCAACCCAAGTTCTCTTTCATGCTCACTACCTATCTTTCTGTTCATGGCACTGAGAAAAATAACCAGCACAGAGCCTGTTGCTGCTGGTTTAAAATGATCGCTCTGTATAAATGAAGGAATGTGCCTGTGTTGTACAGCTGTAGATGAGGAGAGCAAGAGAAGGGAAAGACAGAGGAACATATGTTTGTGATTAAAGACCTATGGGTGGAGGTCTTATTTGCTCGCTTTCAAATCTCTCAGACAGCTGCTGTGTTTTTCCCAGCTGGAGTGATTTATATTTCTTTGGGTTCAAATCTGAGAAGCTCTCTTATTTGAGATGCATTTAAAAGAGACAATAATTGAATGTGCATTCCCTACAGATAAAAACACCTGAAGAATATTAGAAAGATATTATCTTGCAAAATGTGCAATGAAAAAAAACTACAGAATTTTATTGGTTTATTTTTAAATCAAATGTGAATTACATGATGCAAATTATGTAGGAAGGAAATATTCTATTTTGTGGCAATAATCAAACTTGTTCCAACCAAAGTGGCAGTGTTTGGCTAATTAGCATGGCCGCTTTAGCCCCCACTAAACAACTGTCATTGAGATTAACAGGAAAATATTATAGACCTCCATGTGTGAAACTATACGGTCATATGACAAACCTCAATCTGTTGGACGGTTAGATCCAGGAAAGTGTTCTCATTACGGACGCTAATAAGGCTCTTGGGCCCTTTGCAGCCCATGCTGGTTCCCAGACCTCCATTCAGCTTCACCACCACCAGCTTATTCAGACTGTCTGCTATGTAGTCCGGTAGACCCTTTGCCTTAATCTTATCATATGGCTGGATCTGAAACAAAGACAAGAAAGACAAACGACTGTGAGTCAGGACATGCTTACATTTTTTCACCATCTGGAAGTTTATATTATATTATAAGGAGTTCTGGATTATATTATACTGGAGTTCATAAATTATCCATCCAGTGACAATGAAGTCTCTAAATTTCATCCAGATGCTGTTGCTATTGGTGTGCGTGTGTGTCTCATTGGATTCTTCTTCTACAAAAAAATCTGACTAAGGGGTCAGAAGTCAAACGTTGAGGTTAGTGCACTGTTATGATTGTGTCTGCAATCAATCTTCCAGAATCACTAGGATCATTTTCAAATACACCAAACAACCACAACACACATTGTGCAAGCACAACATTTCTCATAGAGGCAGAAAAAAAGGACCATGTTTAATCGAATAAACAGCCCAACTGCTGGATCAATAGTACCAGTGGGAGGGAGACAGAAAGACGAGAAGAGAGAGACGATGGATGCGTTTCTGAAAGAAAAGATCCTTTCCCTTTACATCATTCCTCGTTTCCCATGAGGGTGATGGGGCACCACCATGAGACATAACTGATGAGTCAGATACCAATAAAACATCACCACACATTTGCACTAAAATTCAGAGCACAATGCCCCACTTTATGATATTATGACAGATAAGCACAAACATGAAAAAAGAAAAGGACTAAAAACGTAATATCTCAATCACACACAGCATTTCCATGACAAACACACAGACAGATGGAGAACATGATGTAACCAAGGTCATAATGTTTGTCAGGGAGAAAGAGCAATGAGTGTGTGAGAGAAGGAAGTCAAGACAGATGTGTCTATGTAAGAGGGGGCTAAAGATGAAAAGAAAGCATGATTTTCCCCCCAACCCCGTGAAGCACAAACCAAAGTGCAGTCAGTTCTGAAGATTTCACTGGTCATGTCAATCACAGTGCTGACCACCTACAAAACACTGAAACAAATACTAAGCCCTAACCCTAAAATAAACCCTAATCTTGGTGTAGCACATCCTGATAATAGCATTACTGTTTGTCATGATCGCCTCCATCCATGATATATCAGAACTCTGAACTGGATCCATGAAATCTGAACAGGATCTATGAAATCTGAACATTTCTTAACAGGTAAGTGATTGAGTTGACCAATGAAATAAGCTGTGGGGAGAGTTTGTGCTTAACTGGTTTGGTGTAAATTTGTAACAAAAAAATATCTAAAAAAAAAAAGAATCTGTGACCACAGAACTGAATTCCATTCCATAGAATGGAAAAGCATCTGTAGATTCCTGGTCATCAGGTGCTCAGATACAGCCATATGCAGTCTCAGTGATCAGATGAAAAACAGGAGTATTTTTATGTTGATTTGTCTTATATTGTATACATACTTGTGGTTTACAGTGCTCAAACATTGAGGCTGCCAGCAGAGGTTGGTGGCTAAAATCCCAGGGCTGCTCATCACTTGGAGCAAACAACAGCCGGAGAGGCAGCAGTTCTCTCAGCCGTTTCAAAGAGAAAATCTTTTTAAATGTATTTTCAATCTCTAAATGATTCCTCCACAAACTGTTGGGACAGTCTTTTCATGTAAATTCAGCCACATTATTGTAGAATGACAGGTAGAGTTGATTCCTTGACTTTATCAAAGAATGTTATATGACATTCACCACACAGACCATGGTGCCAGATGGCAATAACATGGTATGTAATTATTACCATATTCATATACCATGGTATTTTTACATGTTAATCCAATGCATTTCAGAGAAAACCAATTACTGTTTTGTAATTTTGTTTGTTGTTTTGATGGACTCAGTTCCAGTCTACTGTGCAGTGAAACTAGGTCATCAGTCAACCTTGGAATTAAAAACAACCCTGAAAAATATCTTCTCTATATTGACTGCAATTTTATGGCCTACAAACAAACATAGACACACACATTCATAATGCCATCCATTAATACTCTGACTGAAATTCAATCAGTAATAGCAATGATATATGTGACTGTGTTAAATGTGATTCAGTAGCATTACAGAGAGAGTGTGTAACAATAGTGTGTAGTGGTGAAACATCTCTGTCAGTCTCTTATGTTGATACAATCTGAACATCTGATAACTTTTTCACTCAGGATCACTCAAACTAACCTTTTTGCACTAGGGCTGTAATACTATATACTTGCTTGCAAAAATTTGGTACGGTAACATTACTTGTATTGCGTGACTCCTTCAGTTTATTGTTTCTTACATTTTCTGAGAAAAGTGTTTCCTAAAAAGTTCTATCAATTTATCAATCCTACATTTACTATGATTGTGTTCTCCTGCGTGTTGTTCACCTCATTGTCTATGAGCCTTTTTCATAAAATATACGCAGAACAAATTTCTGTGTAAATCATGCATGCAATTATTCTTGTGTAAACCATAGTAATTTATTCAGCGTGTTAATATACATATGAATAGATTTACAATTTAGATAGAAACTTGTTTGTTCACGCCCCGTGTCTTTAATCTCTGATCAGGTGTTGTTGTAGTGGTGGTGTGAGTTCAGTCTTTTCAAGTGTCTATAGTTCCTTGTTCTTTGTGTACTGTCGCTTATATTGTGTGTGCGTCAAATAAAGCAGCAATCCTTTTTCCATTGCTTTTGAGACCCAAAATGTTTCTAGGTGAATACACACAATCTATTTTTAGTGCCTTTGATTGAATAGTTGCAATGCAGTTTAGGTGGCATTATTGTGGCAATGAAAGGCATTTGACTAAACATGAGCCCAGTTCCAAACCACCATGACACCACCTCCCCTGAGGCCCTAAATGAAACATGGCTGACTGAATTAACTAACCAGTCATCCAGAGAACAACAGGGATGTCCTAACTGCTGGTAAAGAAAAGAAAGAAAGTATTTGAGATCTGAGCTTCAAACCAAAAGCAGGACGCCCAATATTTTAAGCTTGTTTTACAGGTTGAATCAG